TTTGGTGCGTCTTGGGGCGGGAGGCTCGCCTTCTCGAAATCCGGCGCCCCGTCTTGAACCCCTCTTGGGGTCGTCTCGGGGCGCTCTTGTGCTGCGATGGGGCCTTCGTGCACCGTCTTGGGGCCCTCTAAGGGGCCTCTTGAGCCGGCTTGGGATGGCCTTGGAAGCCTCTCGGGGCATCTCGGAGCACCAGGCAGGAGAGATGGCGCAAGAGGAACAGTCGTGCAAAAACAAATGGAAAAGCAACCCTCTCCAATATGCGTCTGCGAAGAATCAAGGGGCGCTGCGGCGGCCCCGCGGGGCGCGCTGCAGTTTTCTTCGGCTGGCGGGGGAACGTCCTGGGCTTCGTGGATCGATGCCGGGGCGTCTCCATGTTTTTTTGCGCGAGTCCCAGGGTGGCCCAAAAGTCTCCTGGGCGCCAGTGCCCCTCTGCTCCCCCCCCAAGATCCGAAGCTCCAATGCATGTATGCGTAGATGCGTTCACTAGAACCACGCGCGCGCTTCGCGCGCTTAAATTCTCGCCCAATCCACGGCGCTGCGGTGGCGCGAAGGTCGGGGTGCGCGGGCGACTCGCTGTCTGAGGGAGGTCGCGACCGACTTGGGCCAGTTCTGGAATGTCGCGGGGCTTGCTCGAACAGGCTTCGGATCTGTTTGGGCGCTGTCTCGGAGGGGGAGGGGGTGCAGGTGTCTTCGGCGCCAAACGCGCCGTCCAGGGTTGCCAGATCCCTGTCGCGACGCAAGTCTTAGTTTGCGGGTTCGTCGGGGAGATAGCTGACCAGACTTGGGTCATTGACTCCACTGACTGGCTATCTAAATGTCGAGGCCGTAGTTTACTGGCCTTGAGGCGTCACCATTTTTTCTTGGCCTGCCTGGTCGAGCACGCGCGGCGGGGGGCGAGGAATGGCGGAAGGCGGGGCAGCGCTGCCATGAAATACAGCGCACGCGCTGCCGCGCCAGCTGGCGGAGCACGCGCAGAAGGAATGAAGAGTGCAAACGAACGCAAGGCAAACTGCATTGATACATACTGCACGCGCCGCCACGCCGGCAGTCGAGCTCATGCAGAAAGATCGAGGAAAGACGGGGGAATGAGGCAACGCAGCCTTGATATTGAATGCATGCACTCTCGCGCCAGCTGGCGGAGCGCGTGCGAAAACGCCTCCTGGTCGTAAAGGCAGGGCCTCACATTCGATGACTTTGCAATTGTCGCTGAAGAGCTTTCGAGCCACCTCCAGCTCTCAAACGGCACCCTTTCGAGCCTCTTGGACAGACGCACGCTGGAGGTGCGGTCTCATGTGTCTTTGGGGGCAGTTGTAGAACCCTCTTAGGGGGCTTGCATGGTCATCTTGAAAGTCTCTTCGGGAAGTTATTGGGGCCTCTTGGGCTGTCTTCGGGCCCTCCCAGGGCCGTGCCGAGGCCGTCTTGGGCCCATCTTGCGCAGTCTTGAACGCGTTTCTCTATGTTCGGCGATGACGGGAGTCTTGGGGGGGGGGGCCGAGGGGGGGGGGTGCGACGCGACGCCCCCCCCCGCCGCGCGGCTCCGGCACCGCGGCCGCGCCCGCGCGCGCGACGCGACGAGCGACGGGCGACGGGCGACGGGCGACGACGACGAATCGCTGAAACTGTGACCTGCACTGGCTCTTCGGATCGACCGAAGTACCGAGGCTCATGCTGCGCCCCATGGTACTCTGCGATCTCAACCTCCAACGCTGAAACAAACTGGCGATAGCAAGCATCTAACACCTCCTTCCTCTTTATACTGCTCACCTCTTGCATCGGCCTCCCATAATTCCTAGGCTCGGGCCTAGGTCCGATGACGGCCTCCTGCGGGGAAGAGGCTCGGCAACCGCCAAATGTTGACCTTCTCATCCGGCGGCCTGCCTTTAAACCTGACTACCACGGGCCAATGAGGCCTGGCCGACGCGATCCTGCAAACCTCACAAGAGAGAACAATGGCAGCAAGCCGCACAGACGTGACAAAATGATCGATAATGCGCCTCTTGACTGCGGTCGACTTACATGTATACGAGTCGGGGCGAACAACGCGACCACGTAATCTAGACGGCCATCCCATGTCCTGGAGATTCTCTGGCGTCGCATTCCAATCCCCACCTAGAACGTGCGGGAACCCCCAGGAGTGCAAGACTTCTCCGACCCTTCCGAGAATTTCACTGCCCGCGGCCCCCAACTGATCAACGCCGGGAAGATACACAGTGCCAAGCACAAACCCTCCTGGGA